GTTTATTGCATGCAAGGAACAATAAGATCAAAGTATTGTTCGGAATATAGGTACAAAACGTCCAGTTTATATAGCAAACTTCAGACGCAAATTGTTACCTTGTTACCATGGTAATGGGGCGGGGGTCACCTGTGTTGGGACATTCCCAAGACCTTGACCCCTTTTAATGGTCGGTTTCATCTTTCCTTAGTTTGCACTTGGAATTTCTTATCAGTTAACTCCCATCCCTGCCATAACTCAAAGGTGCTTAAGCATGGAATGTCTTGTGTCACAAGAAGTCTTTGTGCAGAAAGAAATCAGTTAACCCCCTTTTCACATCTTATATCTTTCTTCACACCCAAGAATGCACATACTGTTAAGCCCTATTACAAAAAGACCAACCTGGTTGTCTCGGTATCACAACTCTCTCCAGGTCTGCCTGTGACTGTATGACCACACCTGTTGCTGCCGATCTCCAAGGCTGTCATATTGGAACCAACCTCAGGATGATTGCTCTAACAATTCTGACTATCTTTTAAACTTCTTAAAATCTAAAATACTTCTATCTCTCTGCAACAGTATGGCGTGCTTTTCTCCCTTTTTAATCTGTGCATCCAAAGCAAACAGTAAAAGCTGCTGGTATCCTAAGGCAGAGCCTGTCTTCTGTAAGATGACTATACTGTGATGATACAGCATCTTTTCATCACATGTCTTACTAATAAAAATAGGCTTTTATGTCTTTCCTGTGGGACCTCCCACAGATGCCCACAGATTCCTAGATAAAAAGCCAGCTATTTATTTTGATATGTACAAAAGATATTGCTTCAGGTATCATCTATCCTACTTGTACTAACAGCTTCTTCACTGTACTGTATTAATGATCTCATGTTTTCTTCGTAACTTGTGAATATTTCTATTAAATTGCAAATTCGAATGTTTCTAGGAATTTGGTATATTTAGAAATACAATAGGAAAATGGATGTGCTGGTAAGTATGGACATGTCTTGTGGGTCACGCTGGCAGATAATAGCTCAGCTGTTTAAGAGCAGAACTGCTGTATGCTCAAGAGAAGCCTGCCTGCAGTTTTCAGCTCAGCTGTCAAATGAGAAGTTTGAGTGACATCTGCTTGGGGTTGTGTCATCAGCTTTATTAAAAGAGCGTGTTAATAGAGAGGGGGGTGGATTCTGTGATTAAATTGCTTCATTCTTATCAGCTGTTATTTTAACAGCATCACACCTAATCCCTCTTTTTTTCCCTTTTAACATAAGAGTGATTCCTGTCTGATACTTTGGAAAGAGCCTGCGTTTCAGACGTTTCAGAAATCCAGTTTGAAGCCCTCTTTCTGCCTGAGTTTTTGTGGCTTTGCTCTATGGCACTGAAGACATGAAATCGAATTCCACTGCATGTTTCATTGTTTGCTTTAAAATAATAGGACAGCAATAAGCAGCTGAAAACAGGCCTTCAGAGTTATAGCTTTCCAAAGCAAAGAACAAGGACTTATCTTTGTCCTTATCAGCCAGAGTTGTACAGAAAATAAAATGTCCTTGCAGGTGAAATGCAATCGCTTAATTTTAAACCTGTTCACAGTGTGCAGGCCTTCATGGTGCACTCATGCAACAGCACCAGCACACATCCTGCACCTTTCAGAATTTCTCATACAGGACATCCACTTACCTATCAGATCCAGGCACGTTTTAAGGAAGGCTTGTTGATTTTATCTCTCAAGGCAGTGCTGAGAGTAGCAAGTTACATGATGTCATAAAATGAGACGGAAAACCCAGAGGAACAGGCCTCCCTGCTTGCTGACAGACCATTGAGTTAGAAGAATAAACATAATCTGTAAGTATTTAACTAATTTTCAAACTGGAACCAGAGACAAATGGCAGTACCAACATCAGACCCACTCAGCACATTACACTTCATTGTCAATGTGCAGAATCATGCTGCTAACACATTCTTAACTGCGCAGTGATTATTTTTGTTGATTAAGTACATGTGTCAAACTGGTTTTGGAGGCTTTAAAACCTGTCCCACTGGAGATCTCATTTAAACCTAAAGTACACAACAGTCAGATTTGACTATTTCAAAACCTGCAAGAAAGTACTCTTTGCTCATCATTCCTAACTGGACTGAAACAGATCGCGTTGTTTACATTACCAAGGATTTTAAACATGCTGTTGTGCAAGGCAATGAGCTCAAAGCAGCAGAGTGAAATAATAAAAACGCAACTACAACGGAGACGTTACGGCATTTTATGCATCAGCCTCGGTCAGAAAAAGGAAAGAGTTTTCTTCCCCCTTAAGAAATCATCTGCTCTCTGCCCCTCACTCGACCGAACAGCCACAGCACTGTCCTCTGCGGCTCTTGAAGATTATGAATGGGGTCTATTACCACAGGCAGGGATGCAAGTATGAAGAAAAAATGAAAATAGAACGGGCTTGCTCTCTTTAATACATTCCTATTATGCTGTAATGATTTCATGTGATAAAAATATCATAAAAAAGATCCTTTTAAGAAGCGTGGAGAAGTGGGCTGGTCAAAACATTTCCCAGGGTGCACCTATATGCATAACAATGATTTTTAAAATTAATATTCCATGTGCAGTGAAAGGAGGAAAACTACAGCAGATGATAATGCCTTGTTTTATAAGAAAGAGGCAAATTAGTATGAGTAATACTTATATCCCTCCTCAGTTAGAAGGGCCATGGCTCCATCCATTCATTATCATAAAGCCACTTATTCTAGGTAGGGGTGTATCTGGAAGGAAAGAAGGAAGGAAACCATCCTGGATGTGATATGCCGGTCCATAACATGGCGCGCACACAGACACACATGATCCGGCTCACCCGGCCGGCATTTCTTTGGAAGGAGCGAGGACACGGAGGCCAGACTCCCCACAGAATGTGCTCCCACCACCACACTTACACCATGAGGTTCTGAAACAGGATCATCACACATGTACTGGATCTACGGCAAGCCAGCGTGCTGACGCCCGGAGTATGACGCTCTCTCGGTTCTGGGATTCCGAGGTCTCCTCCGATGCGTTCCGCCACCTCTAATCCTCCACCAGGACAGCAGACGCCATGGGGAACGATCATGAGGAATACAGCGTTAGCACCAAGCCAAGGCCACCAGTGCCAACGGTACTCCGGTTGGTTAGCGTCCATACTGTTGGCAAGCAAGAGACTCCCGCATAAATGAATGAGTGAGTGAGCCAGTGGGCACATCGCGCGGGTCCTTGCCCACTACGCAAATGGCAGCAGCAGGAGGATTTAAAGAACAGTCCCACTGCCGCTGGGGTGCAGCAAGTATATGCCAATACGATTTGTTTTTTTGTTATATTTCCGTGTCTCTTTCTTGCCCTGGCTAATGTCATTGTGGGACTCGGATACAGGAGGAAGAGCCCCTCCGTGCATGCTAGCAAAGCTCCCTTGTAAATAATGCAAGCCCCATTATTAGATAATTGAAAAGTCTTTGCTGGTATGTGTCCAAAAGTGCCGTTTCAGCCTCGCGTGTGTCTGTATGCGAGATCCCTGAGGAGCCAGACAGATTCTCGAATCAGTCACTGGAGAGGCTTTTGTTCACAGGCAATACGATTAAGCTTTGTACAGGGGGTTCTCTAATACAGGTCTGTTTTTAATAAAAGATAACCCCAGTGCTTTTCCTATTATGCTACTGTGTATTGTTTAAAGTGGAGTTGCTGTACAATGCGCTGCGCTCATCTGCCACATCCACAGCACATGCCTCAAGAAAAATCCAATAACATATCAGATCACAATGAATGGTGATAAATAAATAATCTAATAAATAAAAGTTCGGCTGACAGCCTAATAAAGATGTCTTCTCCCGCAAGTCTTTCATGCAGCCTGCCTAAAGGACTTAGTCACGGCACACTACATACAAGAAGTCAGTCTTATCTTCAAAGATCATTCAGCCTTTTTTTTCCCCTTTGCTAAGACAACACGGCAAGCCATCAAAGCACTTCTGCCTGCTACATTTGCCCAACTCCAAACTGTTCAGGCTGGAGGAGCAGTTTTTTGCATTCAACCTGCATTACCAGTAGGATCAAAGGAGAGTCTTCTGAAACGCCAGTGGTATTGGTGGGAAGGGGCAGAGATGGAGTAGGCATTTATCTTGGGGAATTTCACGCCGCCTGCTCAAAGCACTGACTGCTTTCTCTCTGGTGCTTTTCCTACAGAATGCATTTTCACATGTACCATAAAGAAAAGAATGAAACCAACGCAAACATACACACACACAAACAACTATGAACTGAAAAGCTTGTGTAAAAACAAAGGTCGTGAAAAATGATCCCATTTCACCATTGGAATCATCGTTGGTGGAAAAAAGTAAAATCCCAAGAACGAATCAAAATCCCATTCAAACCTGGACAAGAGAAAGGCAGCCGAGAACAGGAAATTGCTGCTTATATGAGTTTCTTGACCCAGTGTAGCATTATCGCTAAATAAATATTCACAAGAGTTTTCAGAGCACAAAGCAATACCCATTCACTAGGATGAACCACATAATGTAACATTTCTGCATTTACAATGGTCAGTAGAGTGCAGCGGATAATGAAAGTATGCACATGGGTACTATTAACCATTTGCCTTACAACTCAATGTCTGGTGGACATAAACTAGATAAAACTACTGCATGTTCCTTTTAACTTATAAATACCCAGACAACACTATCGCATTAATGTACTCAAGCTTCGTATTACATTCTAGTGTAAGAATCGGAATTCTGCAATTGTTACACCTAGAGAGACGGGTCTACACAGAAGACCCCCCAAAAAGTATCACGAAATTGGATTGTTTTACGATAGCGCAAGTCCTGCCAGTACTAACCGTAGGGAAATCGGGTGAAAATGCATAATCAAACACGTGAATTAACGCATAGATAAAATGAAGCCAACAGGGGCAGCAAGCCTCCCACCTTGAGGTTTGGAAAGCGAGGACGGAACTGAGAGACGACACGGTAAAAACTGGATAAAATCCCCCCCACCCCGTCTCACGCACCTTTGTGCATACCGGTGAACCGATCTTTCAACACGGTGAGCTCGTAGATCTTGCCGAATTCCTCGAAGAGCGGTCGGAGGTCCTTCTCGTCCAGGTTGCGGGGGATCTGTCCTATGAAAAGCTTGATGGCATCGTGGTCCTTCATGGGAATAGTGGCACAGCTCCCGGGACTGTGGCTTAATCCGTTCACAAGCCCGTTTGTGCCTGCGCTGCCGAGTCCCGAGGTGAGACCCGAGGTGTCAGCCTGCCCGTTTGTTAACGTTGCCATCTTCACCTGGGGTAGCGGTCGTAGCAGAATAAGTAGAATTAGTAGTCGAAGTAGTAGTGATAGTATAGTTTGCGTGGTAGTAGTCGAATCAGTGGTGCTGTCGTTGGTGTAGAAGTAATATCAGTAGCGGATTAAATAAAAAAGATCGGGTAGTATTATTGTTAATATTGATAGTTTTATTTATATAAATATTTACATATATAAATACATATACTAGCTAGAAAGTAAATAGAGACGTGCGTGTGACTGTCTCTGTGGAGGTGTGTTTCTATATATATGTATAAAAGGGAGAGAATATATCTCTATTTACACCTCCGTTCCCTCGCCCGCTTATCCTGCCTTTTTATTTTTTGCATTGAAGAGACTGTATGGGTGTCCTTTCGGTTTAAACAGACTGGGATGTCTCACAACTCGCATGTGTCAGGGGAGGTAAAGGAAAAAATGATTTGAAATTCAAAAATTTCTTTCTCTCTTCCTCCCCTTCTGCGACTCAGCCTAAAAATGGTATCTTCCGCCCAAGTGCGGAGGTGGGGGGGGTGGACTATAAATTTGAAAAAGCGTCTCTCGGATCCTTTGTGTTCTGGTTTGGGTGTATTTGTGTTATGTTTCTTTTCGCTGCAGGGACCCTCAAATAGATTTATAGCCCCAATAATCATATTTAAATGTGATGTTTTGCTATAAAACTATAATAAACCGTGGTATTATTATTATTATTATT